AAAAAAAAAAAAAACAATAGATGTAAATTGAACTATAATCCATGTTTAACATTTTTTAATTCAAACAGGAGTTGATAAAATATTAAACAAATATCAAAAATTATAAATTTATAATTAATATTTAACATTATCAAAAATTAGAAATCTTAAATTGTACAATTTAATTTAACGAATTACAAACAAACGTCAATCACGAAGCAAGATATAAACCGGAAGTTGCAGGTCCCTCTGTAGCTCGAAACAATTGAATTGCATGCGTGCCTACAGACATTTGTTGGTCTGGTGCGTAATCACACTGAAAGCACTCCGAAATGAAATTTAACGTCGCGACGTCCACTTCTATGCGAATCCTTCTTCGTTGAATGGCGTAAACTTCAGTTTAATGCAATAGGTGCATTTCACACTGTATCATCAATTACAAAGACCAAAGCACGACAGTGTTAAAGCCATTTAAACACGTTCCGTATTGTGTAACGAATAAGTATTATTCATAAACAGCAATAAAACATTTAAATGAAAAGTTATATTGAAAATATAATATTTTATTAAATAATAATAGATGATGATGATGATGATAATTAAAAATGTTTATACAAAATACAAACATTTTTATGAACATGAATAAAAAAAATGGAGTTTAAATAAAGATTTGTCTTATTTTTCAAATATCATAATGCGCTATATTTTGAATATTTTGTATTTTTTTTCATACAATGTGCATTCTGTAGATTTCTGTATTTGATTCAAATTTTTCATAAATGCATCCTTAGCTTAATAATAATTATAATAATGATAATAATATTAGTACTATTTATATGTAACAAATTGATTTTATTGAAGCACAAGTGAAAAATATTTTCTAAAAAAAAAAAGAATTTAAAATGACAAAAAGAAAAAAAAAAAAAACCTATCTTTCAATATCAAATATTTCAAATAATTATTTCAATTGTCAAGAGTGCTATAGCTTTTAATTTTTTTTTCTTTATATCAATTTAACATCTTGATTTTTCTTTGTACAAATATGTTCTAAAATTTGATCCAATGTTTAAATAAATTTCATGAAACTTTTGAAATTTTATTATTAATCTATCTATAATACACAATATGGAACGTGTTAATCATTTTCTGTTCAATTAAATCTTCGAGTCAATATAAATTACAAGAATTGACTCTTTTTAAATTTTCTTCTTTTTGTATGTAATTATTTAAAGTAGAATTAAAAAAAAATGGACGAATGATAATATCTCGATAATATTTGTATCATGGCCACCATTTTCGTATATTTAATAATAATCTACATAATAAAATATAATACGGGTATGTTTAATGTTCTAACGAGCTTCGCATCTGCACGAAACAAATCGAATTAATCGTGTTAATCCCTTTTTACTGAATACACATTTCATCGTAAATTATTGAAATAGAAGAAATTGATTAAATAATATAACAACAAAATTGATCTTAAGAAACGTTACGTATAAAATTTATTCTAATTTTCTTCTTTCAAATAGAATATAAATACTTCAGCGTGACATAGACAGATCGAAAAAAAAGATTTAAGAAGAGACATGGCAGTTGCACTCCTCGTATCGTACAACGAATATAAAATTAAAAATATACACGTGAAACATACGCGAGAAATAATAATAATCGTATAAATACAGGATCGTTTTTTCGCAACTGCATCGGTTATGTTATATTATGGGATAATTATGGAAATGAAAAATCTAGAAGAGAGAAAATTAGAAAAAAAGAAAAAAGAACAATTCAGCAGTACAGTCATTGATCTTCGTATCGCACAAATGAATCTTACGAAAACGATAAATCTTTTACTTAAAACTGTGAAAATCCTTTCT